CTTGCGCTGGGGGATTGGGGGCCAACAGCTAGTAACAACTGTCAGCCCAAAAACATCATTGAAACTCTTTTAGGCCCAATTGGAGTCTGCGAAATCCAAAGCGATTGAGAAGGATGAGCAATCGCGAAATTTCGATGATCGGAGAATCTCGAAATACACGTTTTTGCCACACGGTCCAGCTTACACCTCAGACTCCAAGACGAACACCAAGGAGACCAACGAGCTCGTGATTCATCCCTCCCGTGATTTGATTTCAACCCACCATCCAGACATCATTTCAAATCTTTAAAACTGCGAGAAAGATGGCATTCAGGAGGTTCACAATGGTTGCATTCGCTGCCTTTGTGGGTGTCAAGAGCTTTACAATAATGCCATGTTTGCAATATATGAATCGCCGATCATGTCGACCAACGTCGCCCCGGCTATTCGACACATCTTCTAACACCGATTCTAGTGATGATGCGCCATCCACGTCGAAGAAGGTGGAGTTTTGGCTCGACCTCCGCGAAACGGCCATACTTCCAACAGCTGCTCTAGAGTTTTTGCGAGAAAATTTATCTGACGATGACGAAGATTCACCTTGTCTGGAAATAGACATTGACCGGATTCTTGTGGCCACCAACAAGGCTCAAGCTTATCGAGAGATATCCGATGAGGATTTCATTCAACCTGCGCTCCTGTATGTTTCAAAGGACAATGACTCTGAACTTTGTTCAACCAAGGATGGAGTAACGGAATCTTTTGGCGAAATCGTTGCCATGAATGGGTCCGCTGGTGTTGAGAATCCATTAAAAGTTATCCAGACTCTATCTTCTGGAAAATGGATAGTCCTCGTGCAGCGCTGCAATGAAAAGGACGTCGAGGAGTCAATGCTCAATACAGTTGGTGACTTTCTGGAAATCGCTAGCAACAGCATCTCTGGTTCTTGGCTTGCTGCGCTTACTTCCGATAGCCCCCTTGCATACCCTAGCAAAGATCTCGTTGTACCCCATTCTCAAGAGATGGGTGAGGGGACGAACGGAGCAGGAGTTGCGATCAAATGTTCTTCATCCACCTCCCTTATGCAGCTTGCTTCGTCCATAGAGTTTTCCGGTTCAGGAATGTCAACGACTATGCTTGACAGCGGTATTTTAATTCAAGACGTCATGACGGATAAAAGGAATCTGCCAATTGCTCTGCTGCTTCCATTTGATGTTTCAATATGGAGAGTCGCAAATACGCTATATGCGAATAGGACAGAGTAGCTCTTTAATGTATGGTTAAAGTCATTTTGATTCGATCACCTCTTCTGGTAATACTATGGTGTCCATCTTTTGATCGTGAGCCGAAACAGGGATCTGCCCCTCAACCAGTTGCGGTGCCAATGCTACAGCGACCAATGGCATTGACGCTTTGCCCAAGTTCATCCGAGCAATGAAACGATCGTAGTACCCTTTTCCTTGGCCTATCCTACCACCAAACCGGTCGAAACCAAGTCCTGGAACAATAAGGAGGTCAATATCTCCTGGGCTTGCTGGTAAAATTGGCATGTCTGCTGGTGGCTCTGGGATCTTCCACTTGTTTTTTGGCCAGTGTTTATGAAATTCTACTTTTTCCTCTGGTTTCATGCTGTCGTCTAGAACTACTTTCAAAAGATCCATATCAGGCTTTTCAAAGTTCTTCCCAACCTGTGGCACATAGATGTCTTTTCCTTCCTTGATTGCGTCCTTCAAAATCTCATCAGTATTGATTTCGCCAGAGGGCATTGACAAAAACAAGCCTATCGATTTCGCAGATTTGTAAATCGGAAGTGCAAAGACCCTGCGCCAAACTTGTGAGCTTTGAGTTGCGATCGAGTCTACATCGAGTGCCCGTGTCTTCGCACGAATTTTTTCCCTCAACAACATCTTCTGCTCAAGAATATCGCTAGAATCAGCTTCAACATCGCCCATTGTACCTTTTGAAGCAAAAGTTGATGCTGTCGTTGAATATTGGCTGAAACGGCGGACGGTATGATGTCGTTCACAAGGATCAACGAATGCGTATGTTGCAGGCCCTTTGCCAGCTCTCCAGGTCAATAAGCTAGCCCGGAACAAAGCCAAGACTCGCTTCCTTTGAAATATCTTTGTCGGCAAGATTGCGTTGATCTTGTGGTGTCGCGATTCAACATCAAGTGCGTTGACGGTGGATGCACTTTGTTAGGATACTGCGGAGGCGAAAGGTGTACCAATCGAACGGTTCGAAAAGATCGTTTTTAAAATAGTAATACTATACGGCATGGCGGATGTACGTTTCAAACTGGTACGCTAAATAGTGGGCTAACTTTGCATCATCACTATTCATAATTTGTGGCTTATTCCATGCATCAAGAGTAGTATTTCTTCGACATAGGGACGATGTGAGATTCTATCGCTTCAAGAGTTCAGATAGCGGTGTTGGCTGTGCAGTTTTCTTCAGCCATACTGTCCACACATTGTTCTAGGTATCCCAGAACATCGCTGCAATCCGCGCTTTCTGCCCATCGTTCATTACTCCTATGAAAGGAGAAATATCTAGTTGACATTACTTCACCTTCCCAGATGCTGCTGTATCCGACGCGTCGCCTCGTCCAAGTCTTCAGGACTTCTGCAAGCTGCGAACCGCAAGTGTCTCGCAGCTTGTTTGGAAGCAATGGTTCCATAGAAGTTATCGCCAGGTACACAAGCGACGCCAACCTCTTTCAAGAGGTACATGGCCGCTTCCAAACAAGATTTTCCGTTCAGCTTTTCAACTTCAGTATAGTCTACAAACAGGTAATAGGCACCTTGCGGAGAGACGATGCCGAATCCAACAGAAGCAAGCACACCTTCAAGCTTTCGAACTCTCTCTTTATATTTTCTGCACAAACCTTGAAAGAACTCGTCTGGTAGAGTAAAGTAATGCATGGCAGCATATTGTACTGGGTGTGGGGACATAACAGTCATTTGGTCATGAATTCCTCTGTAGGTGTCGGAAACATGTGGCGGGTGGAGGCACCAACCAAGACGCCATCCGGTTGCAGAAGCTGACTTGCCTAATGAATTACATACCAACGTGCGGTCAGCAATCTCTGGGAACTCCTTCGGGATGACGTAATGTGAAGTTCCGTCGAAGCACATGTGCTCGTAGATTTCATCTGTGACAATGTAGACATCGTGCTTAAGACAAAGATCGACGATTGCTTTTAGTTCGTCACGAGAGAAGACTTTGCCAGTTGGATTATGTGGGGAATTGAGAAGAAGCATCTTTGCATCTTTAAGAGCTTCTTCCAATTCGTTGGCATCCAAAATCCATTCACTACCTGTTGCCTTCAGACTTACAAATACAGGTTGGAGGTAGAAGATCTTGCATTGATTGGGATAAAGCTCATGGAAGGGCTCGATGATGACACAATTGTCTCCTGGTCTTCCTAGCGTTCGCAATGCACTTGCAAACGCCTCTGTGGCACCGAGTGTAACTGTGATTTCGTCTGGTGAAACATCATATTGGTAGAATCGTTTGTAGTACTCCGATATGGCAGATCGCAAATCAGCTCTACCCATTGGCGGCGAGTACTGATTGATTTGATCTAGTTTTCCAGATGGACCGTTTTGAATCAGTTCAACTAGCTCGTTTTGAAGTAGTTTCTTTTCCAACGAAGCGGACTCCAAAGGCATTCCGTTGAGAACGCCCCATGCAAGCTTGAGACGCATATCCCATGGGGGCGATTCGGATGGAACGCCCTGTGAAAGATTAAGCGCTTTGTACTCGTTTGCCAATCGAGTCATCAAGCGGATAGTAGATTCGCCTACACTATCATTGTTGGTAGACAACATGACTTGAGCCAGAAATATATTTTGTCCTGTTGTGTGTTTTTTTTTAAACAGTGGCAAAGATTCGACTATTTCTGTACGTTTAAGTTAGTGTAGTCCCGGTACCTGGTTTGGTACGCATCCTAAGAATACTGTGCCTGTTCTCCAAAAGGCTTATGCGGTAAAGTTGCGATTGAAAATCGTAAAGAAAACATGTCTATGTTATTAAAATCAGAGTCGTTTCTTCATCCTCAATGGCGGTGGCCGAAGGGTTCTTGGTGGCTCTTTTGGCCTTCTTCTTGTTCTTGGTTTCCTCTTTCCTTTTCAGCTACCGCCTTGGTAGTTGTATCAGCCCTTTCATCTCTGCCTCGTACTGAAGTCGTTGACGAAGACCACAAAGGCGGAGGAGGGTACATTGCTATCACCGGAGCGTACTTTGTTGTTTCCATCCCTCGCCATCCTCCAATTTGCTTGTGGCTTATTCCTCGTTGTTTGACGTATCAGTTGTCTTAGACCTTCTGCGCTTTTTCACCTTCTTCTTGGATCCCTTTTTGCCTTTCTTTGATGAACTTGGAGTTTCACCGTCGTCAGTCTTCTTAGTATCCACAGGCTCAGCATCAAAATCCATGCTGTCCACAAGGTCTTGTTCAGGCTTATACTCGCTTGCCCGCTTCGTTGCTGCGTTTTTTTTTACTCGAACCTTGCTGCTTGACTTCGTGACATTGGCATCATAAGCTTCCTTCGCTGAAGCATAGCGATCGTGGTCAGCTTTTGCTTTTCTATCGTACTTCTTCTTGCCGTCGCCATCGAGTTCCCTCCACATAGCCCCCAGCATCTTGGTGATTTCGGTACTCTTAGCCTCCGGGTTCTCGGCAGCAACTTTGGGACGCATCTCCTTGGAAAAGTAAAAGAAGGCACTAATGGGTCGCTTGGGAGCGTTTGGATCCTTCTTGGCCCTTTTAGCCTTCTTCTTTACAATCACCTCGGTGCCAGCGCCCTTCTTTGTGCTCCCACCAACAGAGGAATCCTCGACCTCTTCATCATCAGTTTCATTGGTTTCCATTGGCTCCGCGTCATCATCAGAGTCTGCGTTCCCCTCTTCTGCTTCCTTGGCGACCTTGGCATCATAAGTTTCCTTCGCTGAAGCATAGCGATCGTGGTCGGCTTTTGCTTTTCTATCGTACTTCTTCTTGCCGTCGCCATCGAGTTCCCTCCACATAGCCCCCAGCATCTTGGTGATTTCGGTACTCTTAGCCTCCGGGTTCTCGGCAGCAACTTTGGGACGCATCTCCTTGGAAAAGTAAAAGAAGGCACTAATGGGTCGCTTGGGAGCGTTTGGATCCTTCTTGGCCCTTTTAGCCTTCTTCTTTACAATCACCTCGGTGCCAGCGCCCTTCTTTGTGCTCCCACCAACAGAGGAATCCTCGACCTCTTCATCATCAGTTTCATTGGTTTCCATTGGCTCCGCGTCATCATCAGAGTCTGCGTTCCCCTCTTCTGCTTCCTTGGCGACCTTGGCATCATAAGTTTCCTTCGCTGAAGCATAGCGATCGTGGTCGGCTTTTGCTTTTCTATCGTACTTCTTCTTGCCGTCGCCATCGAGTTCCCTCCACATAGCCCCCAGCATCTTGGTGATTTCGGTACTCTTAGCCTCCGGGTTCTCGGCAGCAACTTTGGGACGCATCTCCTTGGAAAAGTAAAAGAAGGCACTAATGGGTCGCTTGGGAGCGTTTGGATCCTTCTTGGCCCTTTTAGCCTTCTTCTTTACAATCACCTCGGTGCCAGCGCCCTTCTTTGTGCTCCCACCAACAGAGGAATCCTCGACCTCTTCATCATCAGTTTCATTGGTTTCCATTGGCTCCGCGTCATCATCAGAGTCTGCGTTCCCCTCTTCTGCTTCCTTGGCGACCTTGGCATCATAAGTTTCCTTCGCTGAAGCATAGCGATCGTGGTCAGCTTTTGCTTTTCTATCGTACTTCTTCTTGCCGTCGCCATCGAGTTCCCTCCACATAGCCCCCAGCATCTTGGTGATTTCGGTACTCTTAGCCTCCGGGTTCTCGGCAGCAACTTTGGGACGCATCTCCTTGGAAAAGTAAAAGAAGGCACTAATGGGTCGCTTGGGAGCGTTTGGATCCTTCTTGGCCCTTTTAGCCTTCTTCTTTACAATCACCTCGGTGCCAGCGCCCTTCTTTGTGCTCCCACCAACAGAGGAATCCTCGACCTCTTCATCATCAGTTTCATTGGTTTCCATTGGCTCCGCGTCATCATCAGAGTCTGCGTTCCCCTCTTCTGCTTCCTTGGCGACCTTGGCATCATAAGTTTCCTTCGCTGAAGCATAGCGATCGTGGTCGGCTTTTGCTTTTCTATCGTACTTCTTCTTGCCGTCGCCATCGAGTTCCCTCCACATAGCCCCCAGCATCTTGGTGATTTCGGTACTCTTAGCCTCCGGGTTCTCGGCAGCAACTTTGGGACGCATCTCCTTGGAAAAGTAAAAGAAGGCACTAATGGGTCGCTTGGGAGCGTTTGGATCCTTCTTGGCCCTTTTAGCCTTCTTCTTTACAATCACCTCGGTGCCAGCGCCCTTCTTTGTGCTCCCACCAACAGAGGAATCCTCGACCTCTTCATCATCAGTTTCATTGGTTTCCATTGGCTCCGCGTCATCATCAGAGTCTGCGTTCCCCTCTTCTGCTTCCTTGGCGACCTTGGCATCATAAGTTTCCTTCGCTGAAGCATAGCGATCGTGGTCGGCTTTTGCCTTTTTATCGTATTTCTTCTTGTCGTCGCCATCGAGTTCCCTCCACATCGCCCCCAGCATCTTGGTGATTTCGGTACTCTTAGCCTCCGGGTTCTCGGCAGCAACTTTGGGACGCATCTCCTTGGAAAAGTAAAAGAAGGCACTAATGGGTCGCTTGGGGGCGTTTGGGTCCTTTTTGGCCCTCTTGTTTCTCTTGACAGTTTCGCCTTCAAAAGCCTCGGTGTCAGCAGCCTTCCTCTTTTTCCCATTTGCACTTGTCTTTTCCGACAATGTCTTGGTCTTTTCACCATCCTTCAGTCCAGCTTCCTTTTCTTTGCCCATTTCACACCCGTTGGTTGGCGTTGTCTTCTTCACTGTGGGTACCTTTTCGGCCTGTTCCCCAGAGGCTTTCTTGCTATCTTTTGCTTCCTTATTTTTGCTCCCCGGCGGGGGATTAAGGTTCGCCTTTGGCGATGATGCCTTCTTGGCTACAGCTTTCTTCGTAGATGCCGCTGCAGTCGTCCTCGTTGCTTTAGTCGGTGACTTTTCGATAGCTTTCTTTGTAGCCTTCTCCGTAGTCTTTGATGTGGGATGAATCAGACGTGTCTGAATGGTGTCATGTCCTTTGGTCCCAACAATTCCCCAGGGTGTACCAGCATCAATCTTCACAATTGCGACTTCCTCATGTCGACTTGGAATAAGATCATACAGAGAATCTGATGGCTGCATCATTCCAAGTTTAGATTCCAATCCGATCCTGTAGATGAAGTGTTTGGCATCCTCTGTGTGGATGTCTTCGTTCGTATTAGCGATTCTGATACACTGGCTGCAGCCTAAGCTCAAGTCGATGAAGACCTTAGACCTACTGGATCCCCCACCCAGAGATAGTAATTCAGTAAAGTAGCAGTCTGGCGCGGACACAATAAAGTTGTAAAGAAACTGTTCAGATGATGTAGAGTCAGTAGAGTCAGTAGAGTCACTTTCTTTCACAGAACACAAGATTTTTTCGTCAATTGCTGTAGACAACTTCCAAACCACGGTGACTGTCTTAGTTTCCTTCTTTTCTCGTGGAGCTGGCTGAAAAGTCATATAGGGAGTCGACGATTCCCCGCCTCCCTGTGTCCTGCACTGGGTTCTGTTGGGGGGTGAGAACAAATATGGCATGCAAGCCCACGTTGGTGGTTGCTCCTCTGCATTGCTGCCTTGGTCAGATGATGATTGATCCTGCGCCTCAGAAGCGCATTTCTTGGCTTTTGATTTCCTTGGCATCTCCTATCAATTAATCTGTCAACGGTGAAAAAAAGTATCCACTCCAACCGCACAACTGCTTTCTGGCGTTTTTGGATTTTGATTTGCGTTGCTTGTGGTACACGTTCTACAGTGACATTTCGTAGAAAATGGAAAGCAAGCAAGAATCATCTCAAGCTCTCTGGTAACTGTTGCTCTTCGTACATAGGACTGACACCGTGTTGACTCGAATGACTAGCTCGACTAACTCGACTAACCCATTGATAACCTGACAAGAAGGGGAGAGTAAATAGAACGGTACTAACATTTTTCCCGTAGTTTTCTTACAGCTACGATGAAAAAATTACCCGAGGTCCACAATGGATAGACGATAATAGACTATTTCAGGCAATTTGAGCGAGTCTACCAAGCGCAATACCGACATCTGGTTCTGTTTCCGACAACATGGAACTGTTACGGAAAGTAGACCAGATAACAGCTACAAAGAGACCAAATCGAACAATGCTTCCCAGCTGTATGTCAAGTTGAATGTTTGGCTTGCTGCCATCGAACCAATCGACTCTTCTGGAGAAGGAAAAGAACGATTGACGACGAATTAGAGCAATAGTTCGTGTTACTTCTTGAGAAGAGAGTACGCTCCCTGCACCCAGAGCCACCAAGCAAGTTCGGAGACTCGTTTCCTCGCACACGCTCTTTGCGTCATCAAAATACTTCCATCCCTTTAGAAGATGTTCAAGCACAAAGACTCCAAGAGCGGCGTGGATTCCGGCAGCATACTGGCCACTACAAACAGAGATAATTGGCAATAGACAAACGATGAGTTCTATCCAATTTGGAAAAACCAGGAACGTCTTCTCCGGCCACTCCGTAATACAGATTGAATCACCCCATGCCCAGCCCATAATCTGGCTGTAGCACGTCTGCCCACTATTCCACCATGGATGACTAACAACGGCCTCTGGAACGCCGACAGTGATTGGAGTTTTCCAATCATGATGCCATTTCTTGTACTGATACACAAAGTCGATATCCTCGCCTCCACCTGTCTTGGGGAAAATCTGCTTGAATTGTATGGTATGGTTACATCGAGCGCCACGAACCATGAGATTTGCGGTCACGCCCCACGACGGTCTCACCGTTTCCTTTGCAATACCATAAAAGTATCCCACGTTACACGTGCAAAGCATTTGGGTCCATAGATTACAAGCTTCCGGCAAATTGGTCAACCCAACAAACACTTTTCCCTCGGGATATCGCTTAATGGCACCAGCATATGCATCAAGAATATTAGGCTCTGGAATCACATCATCATCAAGGAAGAGCACCCAATCAGCAGTAGTGAAATTATATCCCATGTTGCGTGCGTAACTCGCCCCACGATTCTCAGCATAGTGAATGACATTCACGAAGTAGTTACAATCCTTTTTTAGCGAAGTTTCATTGATTCCATTTGCCAAATTCTTGACGGATTCAATGTGTTCCGGCAAAGGGTTGTCAACAACAATCCAGAATCTTACATACAGCATGACAGTAGCCCTGAGGAGTAAGATTCGTTTGAGGAACTCATTGTTATTTGTCCTATAGGATGGCACAACAACGTCAAGGCATATTCCTCTTGGCCTGAGATTTCCAAGACTTTCTCTTAGGTGTTTGAGATTCTCGGTAAGGACATGCGCTCGCCAATTGATTTGATGCTTCAGGTACCGAGCGTCACCATCACCACCAATTGTATTTTCCAAACGACACGTCACCTCAAACGATGATGCATTATAACGACTGTATAGTTCATACAGGTACGGATCTCCTCCTTGATTGGCAAACTGCTGGGGAATAATACTACCAAATTTTCCAACATGCCAACGATGCACAACAGGGAAGGTTGGAAATCCAGGGAACGCCAAGTCTTTCATTGCAACACAAGCAGCTCCAAGTGGCAAATCCTCGTTTTCTGAGACTTCATAAAACCTTCGAACAATACGTTGTTGCCATCCTTGATCGAGGAGCCTGATGTCATCTCCAAGAAGTACTATGTAGTCATGTTTTGCTTGGCGCCCGAGATGATTCCAGATTTTGCACACATGCCCGTACATAGCTGGTTTGATACTCACAAAATGTACCGCGCACGGGAACATCTTCCGAATACGTATTTTGGCTGCTTTATTGCTGTATAGAATGTCGTCTTCATCGATTCCAACAATGCATTCAGTCAGTTTCAGCTCTGCTGAACTTGATGTTGCCTTCAAAGACTTAGCAAAGTTCTCAAGCATTTGCCAGCAACTTTCCCTATCAATGTACGCATTTGGAATATGTTGGCTCGATAAAGCTAAGTCAAGAAATCGGTTTGAATTGAAATTGAAACGCTGTTTGATTGTCTCGATATCTCCGCTCGTGAGACCCGACTTGGCGCGGGAACAAATAGGGACCAACAAAGACCAGCTTTGCAAGTCAGGTGGGATTGAAACGCCTGATTGCCTCGATCTCTCGGCTCGTAATGATTTCCAAGCACCTGACAGCGGAGAAATTAGGGACCAACAAAGTTCGTCAGTTTTGACATGGTCATTTAGAGGGAGAACCTTTGGCGGATGCATCAATTTCCCCTTTTCTTTCTTCTCCACGAAGTGCTTGACTTTGGAATGGCGAAAACAAAATTCCAGCTCTTCATAGTTCGAGATAACAAGAGAGAGATTTTCGTTTGGCTTTGACTGTCTCACTGTCTCTTTCAATGTTTGAATCTTCGCATCATCTTGTACTCCTAGGAATCTCCATAATTTTGGAGCAATCTCTTCGAATGCAATCGGGTCAACCAGCTGTTCGTATTCAATAATGAAAGTATCCCGTTTGGAAATAGGTGATCGATATTTGTTCTGAAATGTGTTGTTGTAATTGTTCAAAAAGCGTTGGAATTCTGCTGGGTCCACATGTATTGTCAAATCTGAGGGGTATTGGTGGGTCATGTATGCATTCGTTTTTTCTGCCCTCTTCATGGAAATGAAAACAGCAAGCTCGTCTTGTCTCCACAGGATGATTTTCTTTACACGTAGATCCTCTAGAATTTCTTGTTGCCAGACGTCTTCGTTTCTTGGAGTAATCCAATGCTCAGGAAAAGATTTGAAACCAACCGCCTTGAATCCAGGCTTTATTGGTGTCTCGCCATCGGCCAGCATGCCGGACCACACGAACCTGAGGAAGCCTACAGGATCCAAATCCCTCGTTTGAGGAGTCCAGAGCGCTTCACAGTTTTGAATAGTCTTGAAGCTTGGATGGTATGTGAAGATATCAATGGTATTGAACAATTCGTTATGCATCGTAATATCGGGGTGGTTGTGAAGGATCCCACATAGGAGGTTGCTCCCCGTGCGCTTCCATGACAGCACAGCAAATTTTGTATGACCTGTGGAGTTGACAAAGTGCGACGAAAGCCGATACCAACGATCTTTGGAATGAGGTTTCTTGAGATAGAGGTACAAGTCAGCAACTCCTGTCATGGCGGATGTTTTGTGAGATTTTAGAAACAATTAGTATTCATACGAGTCGATTACAAGATCTTTGACTCTCGCTCTACTCAACCGATATCGCTCTGTCTGAAGTGTCTCCTCAAATGTACATCAGCGTTGGACAGGAATGGAAAGAGTCCTACTACTATATATCCTTGTGGTCACGCTTACAGCGAATTGTCATTCTCAAGTTGTAGAATGGAGCAACGACGAACGATTGCAACTTTGGTCACGAGGAGAATTCAACTTGGATTTATCAGAAAATAATGAATACTTTGATTTGTTGCCTTTTCGGCGACTGGGCCCTGTCAGTAGAGTCCGAAACTCTATCCTTCGACATCAGCAATCGCCCAACTGTGACTCGAACGGATTTTGTTTGGATCAGATTCGAGGAGGATCGCAGTCTGTGGAGAACAACAAGGAAATCGAATCCAAGATTGAAGAATTGGGAGGTCGTTTCGGTGCCGATTTCCTTGTAGCTGTCGAACGAAACAAACGAGACCACGAGGAGGATTGTAAAAAGAGCTGCGAACTTTACTATTGTGTCACTGCAAATACACCGCTTGTTCCCGTGGAGGATATTTTGGGACCAACTACAATTAAGTCCTATTCGATGGGCCCGGTACCGCCAGAAGACTTTGTAAGTGTGTAGAAGATTACTCAAGTTGCCTGGGTTCTCACATTCAGAACTAACATGATATGTCTACTTCTTGCATTGTTGCTACTCCAAAAGGCTGACAGTTTTGGGTAAGATCTTTGATTCAAACATATACAGATTTCTTCCCGATAAATCAGCTCACACTTTGCTAAAGGTATCCTCTGGACAACATCAAAGTTACGGAAACAAAGCCTCTCTTTTCGGCAGCAGAGGCAACATCAGTCATTGAGAAAGCTGAAAATGAAGGTGTAGACAAGAATGAATTCAAGAGTGGCAAATACCAGCTTGCTGGAGACTGGCTCCAGAATCTACCCGAAACACGAGCATGGTTCAACCAGCAACTAGAGACGATATTTTTCCCGTTGTTGGCACACTTATTTCCGGAAATTATTAGTTCACCATCAGTGATTAGGGCGCACTCTGTGAGTTTGCTCAAATGTGAGTTCAAGAACTTCGTATGCGGATGTATCAAGACGCACCTTCCGCTCACACCCATGCTCATCCCACAGATAATGCCAGTCATCCTCGTACAGATGTGCATATAGACAATGGTATCCTCGCCATGACACTAGCCATGACACCATCAGCGCAGTATACTGGAGGAGGTACCTACTTTGAGGTAAGGCATTGCAGGAGTGCTGAAGTGTGCTGAGTGAGTCCTTTTATTCCTCAATCTTTTGATTCTCACGACAGCACATGGGAGTTGAAAATATTCTTCCAATGGATGTAGGGCACGCAACATTACGACCTGGATCTGTGCGACATGGTGGTCACCGAGTTAAGGAGGGGGATAGATACGTCCTCGGTGCATTCTTGCTTCTTGAAGACAGAGTCGAGCACGTCCGTCGACTGAAGAATCGAGGAAGCGAGCTTCGTCGAGTCCCCGATTTGGATGGTGCCTCGAAGCACTTTGAATGGGCACTCGCTCTAAATCCAATGTGCACCACAGTAAGTGTATTTGATCGCTGAGGCTGAACCATTCCGACATCGACAAACTGACACAATTCATCCTCAATACTGTCTTCTTTAGTGCCTGAAAGATTGGGCAGAGATTCTGCACACGCAAAAAAAGTTTGCAGAGGCTGAAGAAAAGATTCGAGCGGCACTGCACCTATTGGAATATAAGGACTCGGATGCATTGTTCACTTTGGGAGTTCTATTGAGTGAACAAGGTCGTGACGACGAGAGCATTCAGGCATATCAACAAAGCGTGGAAATAAATGCCGAAGATGCGGAACTATGCTATAACTTAGGCGTCAAGCTTGGAGCCAAAGGTCTGGTCAAGGAGGAAATGCAAATGTATGCTAAAGCGACCAAAGCAAATCCAAAGTTCGGTGGTGCTTGGTTGAATTGGGGGACAGTCCTTGCAGAATCTGGAAACATTGATGATGCGGAGCTTATGTTTTTGAAAGCACTTCAATGTGAACAAGAGGTTGCTTCCAAAGCCATGATGAATCTTGGACTGATCTACATCACTCAAGGAAATGCTCTAGCGCAAGGCGGCAATCTGGAAGGCGCCATGAAAGCGGCCCTTAGTGCCGCAAAGTACATAGATCAAGGAAAGGCCATGCTCGACCAAGTGGCTTCTTACAACAAAGCAGATTCGATGATCCTGAAATTCATTGGTCAATATCGTCCATTACGACTCAAGGCATACCAATTGCTTGGACAGCTCCACGCTGGACAGGGAAACATGGCAAAATGCGAGGCCGAATTCAGAGCTGCAACCAAAAGCTTCCCAGAAGATATCATGGCATGGAAGCTATTGCAACGGATCTTGCAGGTCCAAGGAAAGACTGAGGAGCTGAAGTCTGTCACCGAAAAGATCATGTCCATAACATCTTGATATTCTGGATGAAGCGAGGAGGAGTGAATGCTGTAGATAAATAATCTGTTGCTCTGTGAGTTATCGCTTGTAACATAATTGTTGGATTGTCAATTGGAAGATACTTCCGTCGGTCCATCACGAAGCTGTTTCTCGATTGCGTGGAGACCCGGATGTTTTGGGGTTCTCATTTCTGATGATTCAGCAAATCAGCTGTTGGTAGGATCTTCACTGTTGTCAAAGTATCTTCGTATCTATCTTCCACAAATCTCAGGATCAAAACATCGAAGTCATCATCATCATGAAGCTTCAATCTTTGCTCTCCTTTTCACCATCTTTTCTCCTGTTCAGTCTTTCATGACAGTTCCATCGCAACAGGTACGACAAGAAAGAACGCTGCTTCATCTAATATCTGATATCTTGTAACCATGATCAAACAGTCTCACAATGACTGTTTCTTCTATCATTCCAGCGTGCTCCAACCAGACTTGCCATCATGTCTCAAGAAAAGACTGAGCATATCCTGAAGCATGCCAATGACTGTGTCCACGGCGTATGTGCCTTCGATGAAGTTTCAGAACTTGTGGCCATGCTTCGAGGACATCAAAAGGAGCTGTCAGTTTGGGTTGAGGCAGTCAAGAAAATCACTAAAGCTCTCGAAAAGGTCAAAGAGGAGGACGGCCAGACGAAATTCGAGAAACCGTTCGAGCTCTCTTCCGCGTTTTCCAGCTAATCAACCTGCTTCTGCTAACAAATTTCCTTGTTGCACCTTGCAATATCAATTATATACATCTAAACTGGCAATTTAGACCTTTGGAACAATGCAAACGCGACTTTGAAACAAGTGAAAAACAAGCTGCAACTAGCAAATCAACAATTCCAAGTCATCCACCTTTATTTTCATCAGCACCAACACCAAATCCAAGCAGCTATCATCAATAGATCACAAGTTCACCATGCAGCTATAGTAACACCCATATTAAGCACCTTACTCCTATAACACTCCATCCCGCCCACCTAACCTTGCTCAATAGCAACATTGGGGCCCTTTTCAAGTGTCATAAGCAACCCCATACCAAAAACGGACCAAACTCCCTTGAAATCCGATGGCTCAATCTGTATACACTCGTCATGGCTAAGCTTCTGGGGCACAGGAGACGAGGTATGGGCCATTTCACAACATAACACGGCCTAGCCTCTTTCCTATAGGTCTGAATCAGCTAGTTGACTGTTGTTGGGTGGTGATACTGGCC